GAAGGTAATCCCTTCCATTTATTACTGAAAAGTGCTTTTCTTTGTAGGTGTCAGCCTGCTTTACCTTCAGATGTGTAGGCTGCAGATTATACAGCTGCCTGAAACTTGGTAATGAAATCTGCAACACCTCGTCCCACAAAATCTTGGGTGAAGCAGGGCCAATAAACAAGTGTCTTTTCTTCAAGATGTTTGTGAGCACAAATTAATTACCTAGTCTTTACACCCACCACTCCTCAAGGTCAGCAATATCTTTTTTTGTCAGTTAAGCTCCGATGCTTCAACACGTGCTCCTCTGTGCAGTTTCTACGTGTGCTTAGCTGAGCCCAAGGTTGACCCCAAGGCTTTTAATCAAACAAGGAGCTCTGGCTAAGCAAAGAAATCCTTATTTATGAATAATGCTAAAAAATTATTGAACATGACAATGTAGCCCTGGAGTTCTGTGAAGTGCAAAAGACAGTTTTGATGTAATACAACTTTGATCTCAGGGTTTTTACTGAGTGACAAGCTGAAAAGCTGGAGTATTCTATGACACGGAGCATGAGCCAAGTAAGCTCCTTGGATAACTGATGTGCTTTCACCACTGTCTTCCTTGAACATGCAACCTCTCTTTCCAGCAGACTTTAACCTGCTCTCTCCTATCAAGCAAATGCTGTTCAGGGGTTGACTTGCATTTAAATAGCTTTAACACTCCAGACCATGTTAAACGGGATCTGACATGACAAAAAATACAATATGCTTCACAACTTACTGATTGGTCACTTTCATTCCATATAGGTATCTGCTGCTAAAATTGGTGGAGGAAGAGAGAAAACAAGGTTGTTGTTGTATGACAAAATGGAGAAATAATCCACAACTGATAAGTAATGCAGTCTCCTCGTGAAGACTAAAAATACCCTGATTTTATTGGTAAGTAAAATTATGTTACTTCCATTTCTGCCTGTTCATAAAAACAAGCTGCTCCAGAGCAAATTTGAGATTCATTTCCTGCAAATACTGGTTTATGAGATTTTAAAACTGGCTTTTGGTAAATATTCATGAAAATGTAATTTCAACTGCATGAATGTTTGTGGAAAGTGAACAAAAGGGGCTTGATAAAAAACAGAATTATGTTTTCTGTTCCTTCTTCATTTTCAGTATTAACAACTTGGGTCTGGGAGACACTTTCCCAAAAGGCAGTGTCTGCCTGTTTGCCAGTCTCTGCGGTAGGTGTGCTAGTCCTACAGCCCACCACAGATGCAGGAAGGATGAGAAGTGTAACTTTTCTGAAAAGGAGCCTTCTCTCCTCCATTGGCAACTTCACTCACCAGCCCACCTCTCCAGAATGGCATGCAGTGACTCTGTGAATGGAAATGTCTGGATGGAAGTAAGATTGGCCAAATCAAGCCTGAGGGCCACAAACTGTATAACAGTCATCTAGCCTGAGGGCTGAGCCTTACAGTATGGAAATACTGTTGATGGAATGGCCAAATACGTGGTCTTCATCCATCTGTAAGCTGCAGTACAGAACTCAATAAAGTCTTATTTTCCCATGCATCTTGCAGGTCTGCATTTCTGCAATAAGTGGCCAAGTCCTATGTACTTTACTTAAAGAGGAAATCCATTTGAAAACTTCGTAAGAGTTTTGGAGTTCCTCAGTCCTGATGCAGTAAAAGCTGCTTCCACTAGGAATAAACAGTCTTTTATTTTGTTTGAAACTGAAGCTTTGAACCAACTTAAGGGATTGCAAATTGAAACAAGAATGTGTGTTCGAACAAAACCCTGAAAGTCAGTCTTGGTAAGGTTCTTGCCTCTGTGCTTGAGTGTTCTTTCTAACTGTAGCTTTAAATATGGAGTTTCAAAACCAGTTAAAAAATATTTTAATATGGATTGAGTAGAGAAAACCCATAAAGTAAACAAATCTGGTTTCCCTTCTTGCCAAGAGCAGTATGAGAACAAAGGTAGATAATGCCAACAAGAATAGTCTTAAGAAACACAGAAGGCTTCTAACTTATAGCACAACTCCACCAGATGGATTTTAGTTGAATTTCAGGTAGGGTTTGTTTGGGTTTTTGTTTGTCTGTTTTGTTGGGTTTCTTTCTTTGTTTTCTTTCTTTTTTTTTTCTTATAAACTTTACATTTACTTTCAAAAAAAAAAGTGACTCTGGGAGAAATTAAGCATGTACTGTTTTATTTTTTGTGTTCTACATTTCAGAAAGTTGATTGCAAAAATAAGAAATTATATTTGATTATGAAAATCAGATTAAAGTAAATTAAATATAAAAATAGAACTGAACACCTGAACACCAGACAGGACACATAAAATGGTTGAAACTTAACAACCTAATTACAAATATGGTCAGGTATAGAATGCCAGCATCAAATTCTACATTACTTTATATCCCATGTATATAAATCTAATGGTTCAAAACTCATATAAAGCAGGCTCTTGATACTTTTCCAGCTGAAGTCTTGATCCAGAGCTCAAAAAGTCAGTATGAATCATGTAAGTTTTGGAGCAGAATGCAATTTTTTTTTTTCTAGAAAATTATCTGACATATAAAATAAAAGGAAAGTCTTGCACTTCTCCTAGTGGACCTTTGGTAATTAAAAGTAGTTTTGAGTATTGTAACAATGACTGGAACTTAATTTATCTAGAATAATGTATTACTTTTACATTCTTTAAAGATAACAGGTTAAGAATCCCATGTACAATGCCTTTCTGTAAGGCATTATTATGGAATATATGATATGAAGAACTGTATTTAGGTGGCTACTAACAATATGGTTTTCCGATGGGAAAGAACATGTTTAAATGCTACAATACAGTGTTTCAAATAATGTTCAGAATATACACGGCTGTAGCTAATGACATAGTTACAATGTGGAGGACACCACTCTGCTCTGTTGCAACTGAGAAAGGGCAGAAGGGGGGTGGAATGATATAGCCTCCACTGTAATCAGAAACGGGTTGTTTTTAAATACAAGGTTTGTATAAACATCTTCTAAAAAGAGTATTTTTTTTCTTTATGCCTATGTCCCTTTTCATTCTGAAGTACTCATCTCCTGCCAGGTAAGAGAGCCTAAGCTGGCTTCAGTTTGCGTGGTCTCTGGAAATATTTTGTTAAAAGAGAAAATAATTAATTTCTACTTTTACACCAAGCAATTTTGGTCATACAGAAAACGACTCCAAATTTGTTTCAAATAAGAGACCATTAGGACATATTACTAGATTGATATACATGATGCAAACTACTGTCCTTCTCAAGATCAAAAAATCCATACATCTTTCCACAGACTCTCAATATAAATTGCCTGTCAGAGTAAAATCTTGAAAAGTGTACTGTAACCACAATGGATGATGAAAGAAAATTATTGCCAGACAGATTATATAGTCAAGAAAAATGGTGTAAGTTATTTTGTGCCTCCTAGCTTGAATACATATGGGACAAATGCAAATTTCCCAAATGAAATTCAGCTTAGAATTCATGAATTTCAAAGATATTATAGTTTGCACTTATTAAGTCTTGACTTGGATCATAAGCAGAGTGCTTTTTCCTGAAATACCAGGTTTTCTGTAAAGACTGTTTTTTTTTTCCTAAAGAAGCATCAATTATAAATAATGGTCTACCACCAAAATTGGAAGGGCTAGACTCAAAGCAAATAAACTGAAAAATATGATGGGTTAAAAAAATATTATCTTACCATGCACTCTAGGTATCCTTTGAGGGAATGGCATGGGAATTATTTCTTATTGGCAGATACATAAATATGTGCTCTGTAATAGCCAAGAAGTGACGCACGAACTAAAACTACACATATCTACAGGGTGGGCATAGATAGAGCTTTTCTGAAAAATTAAATGTTACAAGGAAGCCCTACAGCTCTCTGGGTCCTGAGCAATAACTAAAAGTTAGCAGTGGATAATGGGATAACTTGTTTGAAAAGCTATTCAAATCCTCCTTGCACTCAGGAAGGTTGATTTAAATTTAGCTGCTTAAAGCATGGCACTAAATCAGCAGGAAGATTATGCTGGTTCCTCCAGAGGCAAAGTTCTGAATAAATAAGAAGTTAGAATAAAAACACAGAACCCCCCAGATACAAAGATAAATATAGGCATGTTTTGCAGTGGCTCTGGGAGAAAAACCTGAGAGGAGAAGACTTGCAGCGGAAGCAGTATGGCTGCTGGGGAGAGGCTCACAGCCCAGAAAGTTAACTGTCTCCTGGGCTGCATCACAAGCTGCGTAACCAGAAGGTCAAAGGAGGTGATTCTCCCCCTCTACTCTTGCGAGACACCCAGCCCCTGGAGTACTGGTTCAGCTCGGGCTCCCAGCATAAGGAGGATGTGGACCTGTTGGAGCAAGTCCAGAGGAGGCCACAAAGATGCCCTGATGACTGGAGCACTTCTGCTATGGAGACACACTGAGAGAGCTGATGTTCAGCCTAGAGAAGGCTCCATGGAGACCTTAAAGCAGCCTTCCAGTGCCTAAAGGGACCTTACAAGAAAGCTGGAGACGGTCTTTTTACAAGGGATAGGGTGGGGGGGGGCAGGGTATGGCTTTAAGCTGAGAGAAAGATTTAGATTAGACATTAGGAAGAAGCTCTTCCCTGTGAGGGTGGTGAGGCACTTCTACAGGTTGCCCAGAGAAGCTGTGGCTGCCCCATCCCTGGCAGTGTTCAAGGCCAGGCTGGACAGGGTTTTGAGCCACCTGGTCTGGTGGAAGGTGTCCCTGCCCATGGCAGTGGGGTTGGAACTAATTTAAGGTCTTCCAGCCAGCCCATTCTGACTTTATGATTCTATGACACGGCTTCTTTTTCCAGCACAGCCACATACCAATCGGGTTTATCTACTGAAAGGTGGATCCAAGATTGCTCTGACTCAGCTAGAATGGGAAGGCAGTCAATATAATTTGAGCCAGGTCCCCCATTTCCATGCCTTTCAGGGCATCCCCTACCACTTCTGCTGAGAATGCAGTTCATAACAACCATTACCCCATGCAGGAGTGTGAAAACACCAAACGTACTTTTGTTTCTCACTGTAGAAAAGCCTTTGTAGCTATTGTGGGGGGAAAAAAATGAAGAAAGTACACCTTGAAAACTGACAAGTCAGCGGGCAGATGTGTTGTAAATGCATTGTACCACAGGATTCTTGGAGGGCCTCGTTCCTGCCCTATGGGCCTGACGGCTGTTGATGGTGTGTGTGGCAGCAACAGAACCGGCTCCACGTGACGCAAAGGGACTTTGCGGGTTAGCTGTAAAGCCAGTGAACGAAAAGTTCAGAGGCCCGCCCAGCTATAGAGAGCAGGAGCTTCTGGCTTTGCTCCTCTCCAGCGGCGGCTGGATTTGGAGCTCCTGGGCCACCCGCGGAGATGTCTGCCTGTGGGGCAGCCCCTGGCCTGGACACCTGCGCCTCACAAGCGGCTGTGCTGGCTTGTGGGTTGAATTCAGCCAAATGCGCACATGGCGCCACACAGGCAGCTGCAAAAGCTCCGGGGCGCCCCTGCTCTGGCACGGCACGGCACGGCACGGCACGGCACGGCTCGGCTCGGCTCGGCTCGGCGCAACCCTGTGGCAGCCCCCGCGGAAGCCTCCCGCCCCACGGAGTCGTCTCTCCCTACGTCCCTCCCCTGCAGCGTCCAATGGACTCTCCTTCAACACGCGCTGCCATGGGAACAGCGCACGGCTGTGGTTATGCGCTCGGGGCGGGGCGGGCGGTGGCTGCGGTAGGAGGACGGGGGCTGGCAATAGGATCAGACTGGACCGGTCGTTGGTGGCGGTGAGGCGGGGACCGAGCTCTCGGCCGCGGCCCGGGGGGACGCTGGGTCCTCGGGGACCCAGGGGCGGAGTCCCAAGCCTATGTTGGGGCCGGGGTGGCGCGGCCACGGCCCGTCGTGCCGTGCGGGGTTCCCCTCGGCGCGAAGGGTCCCGCGCGGGAGGTGCTGCTCGCCAAGAGGCCAGTGCCGAAGGGCTGAGAGAGTGCTTGGGAGCAGGTGGGAGTGCCCCAAACCCTGCCCGCACCACACAGCCTTACAGCAGGAGTTTATATTCGTCTTCTGTACTTTTCTCTTTATCGTCCCTCCCCCCTGTCCTTACTGCGTTCTGGTTTTAGGTTACACTTCTGGGTAGTTTTCTCCGTGAGCCATCGGTAACGAAACACACACAAAAAGCCCATTGCTTTGACGTAAGGGTTTTGAGTGGTTGGTTTGTTTGTTATTTTTTTTTTTTTTTCCTTCTTGACTTGGGCATTGCTCTGTGTTTTCTTAAAGCTGTCGTCTAGACGGGTTGAAATTTGTGAGCTTTGCTTAACAGAGATCAGAGTTTGATAGAAGCATTAAACGCAAGTACTGACTTTGCTCCATTTATTCACCCGTTCTTACCACCACCTGCTTCTTTGCTGGTTTTGCCTACTTCTGGGCAAGGAGTTCACAGGGCAATTGCTGTAGTTATATAATGTGGAATGGTACAGCATTTATCTTGTGACGCATACTTGGTAAAATGATTTTTTTGTTGTTGTTTGGTTTTTTTTTTTTTTTTTTTTTTTTTGGATTTCATGGAGAGACGGATTAATCTGCTACTCTTTCTGTTTGAAGTTACTTAAAATACAGTTGACATCATAGTTCTTGGTTAAACCATGAATGCTCAACTGGTAGGAGCAGATGTTGACTTGTCAGAGTCATTGAGACAATACATCTTTCCAAGGTGTAAAAAAATTGTCAAGTATGGGAAAACAACTTATGGAAAGTAACATTAGGTAGTTTAATCTGTTTTTTATGATCTTACTTTATGTCTGTTATATGGCACTAAACATAGGAAAGGATATTTTGTTTTGTTTAAAAATGTGATATTTGAAATGGTTGCTGTCATGGACATAGGCATGGAGAATATGAATTTATCCCGAGAGAGTGAGAGTACATTAGTACATGTGACTGCTGTATTTAGGCTAGGTGTTAGGAGCAAATTTACAGGGCAAGCAAAGTTTGTGTCTTTTTTTTTTGTTGTTGTTGTTTTTGTTAAACTACAGATTCTTTGGAGGAAATAGTTTGGTTTTAATTACTGGTAAATGGATAGGACTTAGTCTGGTGTGAAATCTGTGTTCCTGATTATGACAATTGTATGTGAGCTAGTACATGGTAATATCCCTTTAGATTTTATAGGTTTATTGATGTGAGAGGTGAGAAAGCTGTTCGAATTTATACTTCTCTAGTTAAACTCCTGTAGTTTGAAATAAACTGCATCATCTTCATCTGTCTTTAAGTGATAAAGCTATTTTTATATTGATTAGGAAGAAATTTGAGGTAGGCTAAGACAGAAGGTGTATGGAATTTGTGTTTGTTTTGCAATGCAGACTTCAAAATTAAGTTGACTTTAATTTTAGAACTTCAATTCGAAATAAATAAAGTCTTGGTTTGTCTTAAGATGTGATAAAAGAATAATTGTTTTAAAGTGGCAAGAAAGAATTGAGTGCTTGGCTTTTCTGGCGCAGTAAGAAACATGCTTCTATGCTGTATGAACTTGCTTGTTGGAAGAGTATTTAACAAACTGGGGGTAAAAATTGTCTTTAAAACACCACTGTCTTGGAGTTTTGAGAGTAGGGAATAATTGTGCTCTGCCAGTTACCATATTCTTTTATATCAATTTGTATATGACACGAGGCACTTATCTTTCCAGATCAGTGGAGATGGTTTGACTTCACAGCCATTGATGAAATGTTCTCCTTCTCTGTGCTTTCCAGGCATCTGATTGAAGGAGCCACATTTTATTTAATATTAAACTGCTTTCACTGAACTTTAGGGAATTGCTCAAATTAAATAGACAAGTAAATCTTTCCCTGGGTATCATAAATGTAATAAAAAGTTTTTCTTTCAGTGAAATTTAATTTAAAGTTGCTCTAGAATTTTTATTGGTTCTTCATATAAACAAGTTCTGTACTCTGTTTCTCCTCTATACACTAATATTGATTTGTAACAGGTTTTTATTGTTTTAATTTCAATTGAATACACTTTTCAACAGGTTGCTATCTATAGCTCATTGAATTTTTTTTTTTTTTAAGAGGTTATACTGGTTATCATGAATGTCAACGATTTTGTAATACTCCCAGGCTCAAAACCTGGAACCTCAGTGAGATTAAAAGCAAAGTAAGTGCATTTCATCTAATTGTGGTAGAAGTATTTTTTTCATAATTTTTCATGCAACATTAGGTAGAAGAGCTTATTTTTGTATAAGCAAGAAGAAGAATTCTTTTATAGTATTTTCCCTATAATTTTATTCTTAAACCTTTCTTCTCATAGGCTTTAATCTACTTTCTGAGTCAGTTATAGGTCTTATACCTCTGTATATCTAACATATATATTTGAAAACAAGCAATACTAAAGAATTCACTGGGATAGTTTAGTTTAATATAATTAAGACACAAACCTTTCCAAATATAGACACAATTGTATCAATAGCCAATAGGCTACTCTAAATCTTATCTTGGAGTAGCCATATCACTGTCAGCATACTCCTCTGTGAGGAGGTAATCTTGGGTCCACCTGACCTGCCTTAAATTTTCCAAAACTGTTTTCAGTCTTGTTGGCAGATAAAAGGGTGATGTGCCTTTAATGTCAAGGTTTTTTTTTTAAACTTTTTCAGGTGCCTTACAGTCTTCCATGTAATTTCTAATGACTGTTTTACTACATACCTCCTCCAGAAATCTTAGAGAATTGCAGTTGGAGAAAGCACATTTAGAAATGGAAAATGAAGAGATGGAGAAGAAATTACAGCAACTACAGTCAAACATGAATAGAGAAAAACAAGAGAGAAAGTAGGTTAAATTTCTATTTCAAAAAAAGGAATCCAGTAAGATGCTTTCTCCACACCTTGGAGGAAAGTTTGGGATTCACAGTACTGTTTAGTCTTTTCTCTTCAATCTTTCTTCCTAGTGATAAACTTGCTTTCATAAACTACAGCTTTCTTATTTTTAAACTTCCATGTGAAATTTTATTATTTTATTATTATTCACGAGTAAACTAAAAAATTCTTCCTGGTAGGGATATTCTTTCAACACTGAAGATCCCTTTTCCTCATTTATCCCTTCTTTTCCCTTTTTCCACTGTCTGATGGGATTTGTCACCTTAGTTTTAAAGCAGGAGACAGAAAGTAGTTTCACTTGTGCTATTTTAGTGTTATTTCGGAAGTTTCTAAAGAGGATGATGTTCTTATTATTGCTTTGGTCTGGTTTTGCATGGGTCTGCATAGCTTCTCAGAAAGATATTTTCTGTATGGTGGAAACCATGGCTTGGAAAGTAAGCATAATGTAGTGAATCAGGTGTTAGGGTGGGAGTTCAAATCTCTCAGCTCTGTTACTGTCTCACTCTGAATATTAGCAGATACCCGTAACATCTGCTTTCATTTCTTTGTATTTCTGCCTGACATGCTTTGTCACTGGAGATATGAGTAGTGCCTTGGATACTTCGTTGCTTTAGTCTTGGTAATGCTAAGGGTCTGCTGTTTGCAGCTTGGTAAAATTTTGCTTGAGCTGTTGGGGTACTATTTTCCAGGTACTGTGTGGCACTTTCCCCCCCCATATTATTCTCATGCAGTAGTTCTTACATTGTCCTCATAGCCTTGTACCTGGAAACCCTGATAGTGTTATGGTGAATTCACATGACAGGAATCAATGGCATTTGCACAACTGGTGGAAAGATCGTTCCTCTTCCCTCCTACATGTTTTCCTTACCTTTTGTTATCTATGCTTTAGTCTGTTTTGCTCTGTATTTGGTTTTCTGTGAAACAAAGTAGATCAGTCATTTGAATACTTGATAAATATTATGCAATAATGTATTATGCAGTGCGCTAAAGCTGAAAATCACTGCTTAATGTCACTTCGTCTTAATTTCTTCCCCACTACCTTCCATGTTTGTCAGAGTAGGTAATATCTAAACTGATATCTTAAGTTCAGTGAATTAAAGTGTGTGTTCTTGACTTATTAGAAGATGTGTTTTATTTATGCTGGATGAATGCCTTAGAGTAAATTGGGAGAATGAAGACTTATCTAAAGTGTACTTCTGTTACTTTTTTATTTGTCTAAACCCAATCTTAGAGAATTTATGGGTTTTTCTTTAAACCCATAAATTTACTTTAAACTTTAGTTTAAAAGTTTAGACCAATTTGATGATCTCAGTACTTTCT